AAAATTTTTTAATAAAGAAAGTAATAAGATCTAATTGAGCTTGTGGAGGTAATTGTACCCCCCCCTTTGTTTATGTAATTGTGTCTTTAGGGGAAAAAGGTGAGTACACCCACAATGGCTTGTCCCCATGAGTCATTTAATGGACCTATGTCACAAGAACTTATAATGCATCTAATTGACTTAGCTGTCTACAATAATTTTTTTATAAAGAGTATCTCTAACTGTGGTTAGGGGAGAAAGGGTGTAGTTTTGGACTGTTTTGAGTTGAAAAGGGTTGGTGTAGGGAAGACCGCATTCAGGGACTCTCTTTAGAGAGCTAATTTAATAGGCCTTAAATAAAAATTATGTTGGAATTTAGCAATTATAAACTTTTTTTATAAAGTCAATCTGGTGGATTTTGGTAAAAAATATCTAGCAAATTTGTTGTTGATTTTATCTATATGATCACTTGGAGTTTGGTAGTCTATAGGCAAGAATAAACAAATTTTTTAAGAAATTAGGGCATTATCAAAATATAAGTACTAAAGTGAAAAAGCAGTTTGGGAAAAGAGCCATGTTTAGAAACTGTTTTTAAAGGACTAAAATAGTAACTATAATTTGTTGATTTTTAGACTTTTTTATTAACTGAGATTATCTGTGTCTGATAGTTTGTCATAATTTTTTAAAATTTTAATTGTAAAAAGATTGAAAGTTTAATAATTTTAAAAAACAATTTTAACTAAAAATTTAAAAATTTTTGTTGAGGTCTATAAATTTTACCATAGTTTTTTTTTATTGACCCATAACAGGGGTGAGTCAACAGTATAGTTGGAAACTGTCAGTAGGGGTCAGTAATTGGAGCCCCATCTTAATATATAGTTTTATTATTATGGTCTTGAGTTTATATATCTTTGCATTATATTTTTTATTGGATGTTTAAGACCAAGTAAAGGTGAGACCTACATTAATTAAAATTAACCTTTTATTGTCTATCAAGGTCAATTAAGTCTCCATAGGCATTATTTTGAAACTTGTATACAGCTTTTTACTCCTGTCAGTGTTAGTCATCAAGATGTGTCAAGGCCTTGTTTGATCAAGTTGTTTTTTGTGAAAGTTTAGGAGATTTTTTTTTTACAAATGATATTTTTTTGGTATACTATTGATTTTTATCTTTGTGCTGTCCAACAATTTTAGGACCTCAAAGTCAGGAGATTAGGTGAATTACCAAAGTTGTAGGATCTTGTAGTGAAGGTTTTTCTATATCTTGGGTTGTTTGTAGACCTTAAAGGACCAGGGCCAAAATCTTGGCTATTTTTTTAGTCTAGTTACTCTAAATAATAAAATGTTTGATCACATTGCAGAAAATAAACAGAAAAAAGAAAGTTATTGGACTAACACTACTACTCACCATCCTTGAGAATATCACTCCCTTATTGAACTGTGGTATTGATAGGAAAATATCCTGACTGATGAATTAATGCCTTAAAATTTAGTACTAAGAAAAATAAAACCATTTTTGCTGATTTATCATTACTGGAAGTATACTTCAAAAACATACTTCAAATACTTTAGAGCCAAAAATATGGCAACAATATTTGCCCTATTAGAGAATTACAGTGGTTACAATTGAACAGACTTCTAATAAAGGTTGAAATGATGAGTACTCAGTTGTTCTCAGGAGTTATAAAAAATTTCTTCTTCAATATATTTCAGTATATTGCCTATAATATATAGGAAGGAAACGGATTTTTTTCATAATAAAGGTAATGTACATGGTAAATATTATTGACTTTATTCCATCTTCAATTCTTTTTAAGAAATAAAAAAAGTTTCTTAATGTTTTCAAGGATTTTCAACTGAAGATTCTAGAACTTTTTAACTCTAAAATTAATGATATTCATGAGGACTCAGACTTGATGCAGACAAAAACTATAGGAGATTCAGAATGATATGCAAATGAGAAGCTATTGTTTCAATCAAAAGTAAGGAAAAGCAGCCATACAGAGTGTATTTGGAGGATAATGAAGTCTCATTAGCACAAAAATTCTAAAAAGGATTTGATATTTAATGTTTAAACTTTGAGCAATTACACAAAGACTGAAAAGTTGTTTTACATTCAAGGTCATAATTAGAAAGATGCAGTATTTCAAGACAGACAATGACTGGACAGGACTGTATCAGATACCTCAGGAAGATCAGAAGAATTTGACAACAGGAAAAAAAAAATTCTGCCATAAAAAGTGAAATATAGAAAGATGAGAACAGAGACATTTCTCTGAGTCAGACCTTCCTAAGGATTTGTCTAAACAATTTCTTTCCAGAAATTTATTGAAATCAGTATAAAGGCAATATAAATTACATATGATTAAAATATAAGTAAGTGACATGATAATTTATTAAAATTTCAAATATAACAATAGTCAATCTTATATTCATATATTGCTGAGCAGTTTCAATGAATGTAAATTTATTGTTACAAGAAAAAAACGTGCCTCATTTCCCATATAAGTACAAAAAGAATATATGCTAATTAAACACTTATGAAAAATAAAATATTCTTTCCTAAAAAAGAAAATTTACTTGAATGATTCTGTATTAACTATTAACTTTTAAATATATAAACCAAGGTTTATCTTTTTTGTATAATAAGGAATGGTTTAGTTAGAATACTCTATCATTTATGGAGGAATTTCTTCTAATAAGCAATCAGCACAAATGTAAGTTCATTCAATTAATGGAACTATGTATTTGATATTTGTTCTGAAAAAAACCAATATACTCATAAAGTTTTTTTATCATGACCTATATAGTATTTCAGAAATAGGGGACATTTATTTGAAATATTTTATCTATATTTTATTTTATTTTAGCAAATGAAGCCAACCACTGACTTTGATATATGGATCAATAACTTATAAGTACTGCACGCTAACTGATTACACAACTGGAGTGTCAGGATCAATAATTTAGAAGTGATCTTACTTAGAGATTTATGTGCAGCTACATTCTCAAAATATTTTTGAGATAAAATCAAAGCTTCGT